ACAATTACACTAAAAATAATAAAATATCTATGAATAAACTTAACTAAGGAGATGAAAGTTCTATACCTTGAAGAGTACAAAATATTAATGAAAGAAATTAAAGATGACACAAAAAATGGAAAGACATACCATGCTCATGGACTGGAAGAATATTAAAATGTCCATACTACCCAAAACAATCTATAGATTCAATACAATCTCTATTAAAATACCAATAGCATTTTTCACAGAACTAAAATCCTAAAATTTGTACGAAACCACAAAAAAATCCCAAATAGCCACAGCAATCTTGCAAAAAAAGAACAAAGCTGGAGGTATCATAATATTAAATTTCAAGATATACTCTAAATCTATAATCAAAACAGTACGGTACTGGCGCAAATATAGACACATAGATCAACAGAACAGGATAGTACACCCAGAAATAAACTCATGATTATATGGTCAATTAATCGATGACAAAGGAGGGAAGAACATACAATGGGAAAAACAGTCTCTTTAATCAACAGTGCTGGGAAAACTGGATAGCTACATGGAAAAGAACAAGATTGGACCACTTTTCAGGGCACCTGGGTGGCTCAGTTGGTCAAGTGTCTGCCTTTGGCTCAAGTCATGATCCTGGAGTCCAGGGATGGAGCCCCACATCAGGCTCCCTGCTCAGTGGGGAGTTGGCTTCTCCCTCTGCCCCTCACCCCACTCGTGCTCTCTCTCTTTCAAATAAAGAAAAAAAATCTTTAAAAAAGATTGGACCACTTTCTTATATCATACACAAAAATAAACTTGAAATTGGTTAGAGACCTAAATGTGAGAACTGAAACCATAAAATTCTTAGAAAAAAAACATAGGCAGTAATCTCTTAGACATTGACCTTAGCAACATTTTTCTAGATATGTATTCTGAGGTAAGGGAAACAAAAACAAAAATAAACTACTGGTCGGGGGGCGCCTGGGTGGCTCAGTCGGGTAAGCATTTGCCTTCGGCTCAGGTCATGATCCCGGGGTCCTGGGACTGAGCCCTGCATCAGGGAGCCTCAGCAGAGAGCCCGCTTCTCCCTCTCCCTCTGCCTGCCACTCTGCCTACTTGTGCTCTTTCTCTCTGTCAAGTAAATAAAATCTTAGAAAATACACTACTGGGACTACATCAAAATAAAAGGTTTTACACGGCAAAGAAAAGCATCAACGAAACTAAAAGGCAATCTACTGAATAGGAGAAGATATTTACAAATGATATATCTAATAAGGGGTTAATATCCAAGGTAAAGAATGTATACAACCCAACACCAAAAAGACCCTAAACACCTCAATTTGAAAATGGGCAGAGGATCTGAATACACATTCTCCAAAGAACACATCCAGATGGCCAACAGACACATGTAAAGATGCTCAACATCATTCATCATCAGGGAAATGCAAATCAAAACCACAATGAGATACCACCTCACGCCTGTCAGAATGGCTAAAATCAAAAGACAAAAAATAGCAAGTGTTGGGGAGAATGTGGAGAAAAAGGAACCCACATGCACAGTTGGTGGGAATGTAAATTGGTGCAGCCATTGTGGAAAACAGTATAGAGGTTCCTCAAAAAATTAAAAATAAAAATACCGGGGCACCTGGGTGGCTCAGTCAGTTAAGTGTCTGACTCTTGGTTTCGGTTCAGGCCATGATCTCAGGGTTGTAAGATCGAGCCCCCATTGGATTCCGTGCTCAGTGTGGAGTCTGCTTGAGATTCTCTCTCTCTGTCCCTCCCCCCACTTGCACACACACACACTCTCTCAAATAAATAAAATATTTAAAAATAGAAATACCTATATGACCTGTTAATTCCTTTGCTGGGTAATCCCCAAAGAAAATGTAAACAGTAATTTGAAGGATACGTGCACCCCTATGTTTATTGCAGCATTAACAACAATAGCCAGGATATGGAAGCAACCTAAGTGTCCACTGATAGATGAATGGATAAAGTGTTATAATAGTGTTTACACAGTGGAGTATCCTGATCAATGGTTTGTCTGTGGTGCAATTATTGCTAAAAAGTGGTACACACACACACACACACACACACACTGGAATATTACTCAGCCATAAAAAAGGAATGAGCTCTTGCCATTTACAACATCATGGACCTAGTGGGTATTATACTAAGAGAAATAAGTCTGACAGAGAAAAATACCACAGGATTTCATTTATATGCAGAGTCTAAAAAACAAATGAACAAACAAAAAGCAGAAACAGAGCCATAAATGCAGAGAACTGATGATTGCCAGAAGGGAGAAGTGTGGTGGGACGGGCAAAATGGGTGAAGGGGAGTGGATGGTACAGGCTTCCAGTTATAGAATGAATAAGTCAGGAGGATAAAAGGTACAACATAGGGAATATAGTCAATGGTATTGTAATAACATTGTGCAGTGACAGACGGTAGCTACATTTTTGGTGAGCACAGCATAACGGATAGAGTTGTTGAATCACTATGTTGTATGCCTGAGACTAGTGTAACATTGTGTTTCAACTAAACTTTGACATTAAAAAAAGATGAAAATCATAAGATATATTTACAGTACTGTATTTATCAAAGAAAATTCATGTAAAATTGGACCCATGCAGTTCAAACACCTGTTGGTCAAGGGTCAACTGTATATACAAAATTAAACAATAAGGTGATGCTTTTTTCACTTACAAGATTGTCAAAGATTTGAAAGTTTCATAATACTCAATAGTGGTGAGTGTAAGTGTGAGTGAGCAGTAACTCAAACTGTAGGAAATAAACTAATGCAACTACTCTGGAGGGCAATTCAACAGTACCTATAAAAAATGTAAACGAATATCATCTTAGACTCAGAAATTCTATCCCAGGAGCAAATATTCTTACACACCTGTGCAAAGGTCTATGAATAAGACCATTCAGTGCATGCCTGTTTACAGTAGTGATTCAAATATTTATCACAACCACAACTTGTTATAGCATACCCTTACAATGGAGTACTGTGCAACTGTTAAGAATTAGGTAGTTCTATTTATATTAATATGGAAAGCTCTTTACAATATAGAGTTAATAGAAAGCACAGGAATAGAAGAATAGTAGGTATAATAACTCACCTGCGTAAGAAAAAAATATACATGTTTATATATGTGAGTATGTGTATCTATAGGCCCATAATTATTCATCTAAAACCCTTGAGACTAGATAGTCCTTGAACCTAAAATTTCTTTGGATTTTAGAAAGATCTTGTTTTGGAATTTGAATTTTTTAAAGAGAGCAATTAGTTACATCATAGCAGCACCCCATAATCAATTAAATTAGTATTTATGCTTTGAGAAGTATTTACAGGTTAAATGATAAAATGTATGGGAGGAGAGGCAAAGAGTTTGGGGCACATACATTAAATAAGATTTGGAAAAGAATTATTGAAGCTGTTTGGTGGATATATGGTCTTTCATTTTATTATCTACTTTTATATCTTTTTGAAGTTTTCCATAATAAAAGTTTAAAGATCTATTTCTGGAGTGAATTTTTGTAAATATTAGCAGGGCAAAGTAGGATAAAACATTAGCCTCATCAGGTCAGATTTTGCTGAGGTCAGATCAATTAGTGATTTTGCTGCCACATCAATTATGGAAAATCTTTGTTTTCAAGGTATTTTGGATTTTGGAATTGTAAAGAAAGAACCTAAAACTCCAAAATCTATATAGAAAGTTGTTCAGACTAGTTTCTTCTCATATTTACACCTAGGTGTTGGAGGGTGGGAGATATAGAAGAGGGAAGAAAGTTTTGCTTTTTATTTTCTACCTTTTTGTAAGCCTGAATTTTTCAAGTTTTCATATTAAAAACTTTACATTGAAGAAAATCACTGGGACATTATCATGTGACTACTGTCTGCCCAATTTTATTCAATACTGAATAGTTGTAATATGCTATATGCTTTAAGTATTGAAAGTATTATAAATCATCTGTACAAGGATATGCATTTAACCCATCATACACTTTGATCATAAATTTCTTTACAACACTTAATATGTAAAACTGGCAGTAGCATATAGTGAATTTTTAAGTGCTCGAGTGTGTGGTTTGTACATTCTTGGTCTTTAATCCTATACTGACTTTCACTATAAGATCCAGGTTTCCTTCCAGATTTAAGGTTTTACAACTAAGTGACTTAAATAATAAAAACCATTGTATCAGTGAAGGACATTTTATTTTTTTAATTGTGGTAAAATATATAAACAAAGTTAGCATTTTCATCATTTTTAGGTATATAGTTCAGTAGCATTAAATACATTTACATCATTGCACAATCACCACCACCATCCATCTCTAGAACTTCTTTCACCTTGCAAAACTGAAACTCCTGTTAAACAATAACTTTCCATTTCCCTCCCCACTTAGCCCCTGAAAATCACCATTCTACTTTCTGTCTCTATGAATTTGACTACTCTAAGTAGCTCATGAGTGAATCCTATAGTATTTGTCCTTATATGATACTGTCAGTCTTGAAGAGACTAATATTGTCAATATTAACTCTTGAAGAGATTTATGATTAAAGCATAGGATTTTGTTTATGTTGTTTTGGGTTTCGTTGTTTATATACCTGGGCATGACTTACTATAGTAAAAATATGACATTTTTCATTTAAATAGGTTGCAGGATATTAGGAAGATTTCTTTACTCAGTTCTGTTTTATTAAGGAACTAATAAGGAACGGATTCTTGATGTGAATGCCTATTTTGAACTGTTATTTATTATTCCATTACTTTACCACATGCTGTAATAAGACAAGCAACATGATTTACTTAAGAGCTCTTACCTCAGAGTTTTATTGTTCCTATCTACCACAAGGTGTTTTTCAGCAGTCCATAGTAAAAAAGAAACATGGCACTGAAAAAGTTAGTCTAATTGTGAGAACTGTCATGACATTCAGTCTCCTGTTTTTCACTGTATTTTTATCAGATTATGTATTTAGAGGAAAAATCACCTTAGGGAAAATTTTTATGTGTTACTTTTTGAAGGTTACAGTCTTCTTCCTCCCTTGATGACTCAAGTCCAACAGATTTAATGAAAGATTCTCATGCTATCAACTGCAGGAAAGTAAGTACGATAAGTAACATTCATGACGTAAGTGGGTGAAATTTGCTCCTTAATTATTTCTTTTGAGAAAAGATGCTATCCTATAAAATGAACTCTTTCCATGTTTTCAAGAGGCAATGTAGAATAGTGGTTGACCGCAAAGTTGCTGGACACGTACTATCTGGGTCCATGTTGTGACTCAGACACTTACTGCTAGGTAACCTCAGGCTTGTCATTTAAACTCTGTGCCTCAATTTCCTCATCTGTAAAATAGGGACAGTAATAGCACCAAACTCAGAGTGGTGTGTGAATTAAGTGATGTGATACAAAAACAAACAAAAACTTAACAGTGCCTGGTACATAATATGTACTCGATAAATGGTAGCTATGATATTATTTTAATGGGTTCCAATTCAGTGGATTAAATGTACTCCTTATGGTCTGGAAAAAAAAATTTTAATGCTATAAGCTACAAGTATTACATACTGTTTAATTCAATTTAACAAATACTCACTATTTAAAATACATTGTTGCATGTACAAAATTGACTAAACATAGTGGTAAATATCTGAAAGAGTCACATACAATATAGTTCTAATGTATCCCAGGCAACAAAAAGATCTAAAGTAGGCCTATAAACAAAGTGGTATAAAAAAAAAAAAATAGGAGAAAAGAGAAGTTAAATCTGACCAGGGACAAAAAGGAAATTGAAAAAAAAAACAAAACATTTTTATACAAATGTCATGAGTGTTTTGGTCTAGTATTTAACTTTTTCTCATACATTTAGCCAGTGTTTATTAGGTACCCATTTTGTGCCAGACAATAGGCTAGAAGGAGGGAGTTAAGTCATTCTAACATAATCTCCAAGTAGTATACATTATGTAGACATTTTGTAGATCAAGTTCATCAACTTAATAAGACAATATAGGTAAATGATGTATTTTTTTTCCACCAAGCATTATTGCATTTATTTAGTGTTCAAAATAAGGTTTAAGACACCATACATTGCTTAAGGGTATTTATATAGATGCTAAAATTATAAAAGCAAAAAGAAAATTATATATATATAATATAAAATATATATATATAGAAATCAAGATCGTGGTTACTTTAGCAGAAGAGAAAAGGGGATGTGATCAGAGGACAACTTCCAAGCTAATAAGTTGTCGGTAATATTATATTGGTAAATGATGTATGTTGATGAGCTACATGAACTATTGAATTGTTGGCCTGTAACTGTGTAACAGTATGATAACTATTTGGTAAAAGCCTCTAGTTTAATCCATTTCCCACTCCAAAGTACTATTTCCCATTGTAGTTTCATGTGAGATAGAGTTTTACCATCATTTTTCTTAAAAACAAAGAGCTTTTCCTCCTTAATCCAAAACTTTTCCTTATATAATGTACATTCAGTTACGGTTACAAACAATGTGGACTTTGGAGTCAATGGATGGGTTAGAATAATGGCCCCCACACTTGGGCAAGCTATTGGCCTCTTTAGCCCTCGGATTCCTGACTTCACAGCCTTTGAAACATGAAATGAGGGGAAGCCTGTGGACTGACACACAGTCCTTGGTGAATGCCAGTGGTCATAACGGTGAGGGCAGCGGAGGCATTGCCAGCAGGCCTACATCTGATCATTGCTAAGAGGTCTTCATTTCATTCAAGTAGGAACCTTACTATTTATTATTCTGTCTTTTTAGACATCAAAAAAGGAGTCGATTCCACTAAATCCTTCTGAACTAGGCAAGCCAGAGGCTACAAGGCAAAACCAGAGTGCTGTTCCTCCCCATAGTCATGAGCCACTTCTTGGTAAGATTTCTTTGGCAGCTGCCTGCCATTTTAGTTTTCCAAACACTTTCTTAATCATGATATTTTCAGACATAGGAGACTTCTAAAGCAAAGATTTTTAAAACTAAGATTTTTCCATTCAAAATCCTGAATACAATAATCATCCTCGACTTCAAGGTGGATGCTACTCAATGCACCGGGCATTAAAAATTCTGTTATCTGGGCACCTGGGTGGCTCAGTTGGTTAAGCAACTGCCTTCGGCTCAGGTCATGATCCTGGAGTCCTGGGATCGGGTCCCGCATCGGGCTCCCTGCTCAGCGGGGAGTCTGCTTCTCCCTCTGACCCTCCCCCTCTCAGGTCCTCACTCTATCATTCTCTCTCTCTCAATAAATTTAAAAAATTAAAAAAAAAATTCTGTTATCAACGGAATTAGTTATGGGTATTGTTAATACATACCATTTAAATAAAACTGAGGTACTTATATTTAGAGAAAAAATGTCCATTTCCAAGAATAAGAACTTTTAAATGTACTAATCATAAAGTGTTTAAGATGTAATTATTCACTTTAACTATGTTTATGTAGACTCAAACCAAGAAAACTGAAGTGACACAGTTTTACACCGTCCATAACAAACATTGATCTACTGGAAATATATGTTAAAGAGAATCAAAGAACTTGAAAGAAACTGGACTTCAGCTTCACAGAGAGCCACATATTAATCATCTCAAATTCTATTGTACTTTGGAAGATTTCTAGAGAACTTTGGCTAATCTGTAGCTGTGTGTTAATCCATGATTTCTAGATCCTCTTCCTTAGCTCTAACTTAAATCTTATTTCTGTGGTTTCTTATTTCCTTTTTTCAATAAAAAATCTGGGTATTACCCCTTTAATAAGATTTTTCAGATTTTTGGAAGAGGATGCTTATGTGCCAGTCTTCTCTTTCAGATTAAAGTAGTACAGGATTTTCACAAGGCAGATTAAAGTTAAGTTTATCCTTCCAGACTCTCTATAGACACATGCATAAATGCTGGCCCCTAGCTTCCAGCTGTCTGGGAGTCAGTACCTTTTAGTGCTGTTATTTTCTTTTCAAAAACTCATAGATCACCTCATTATGTGCATCAAATGAATTCTATGCAATTTCTCTGACAGCACATGGTTATAAAAATAGGTGACCCATTTAAAAATATATCAGCCTTCTGCAATTTAAGACCTATGCTTTGCCTTCAAAATTACATTGTATAGTATTCTAGCCTTGCGCTTTTTAGTTTTTTTAAGTTTTTATTTTAATTCCAGTTAGTTAACATACAGTGTAATATTACTTTCAGGTGTACAATATAATGACTTATCAGTTACGTACAACACCGGGTGTTCATCGCAAGTGCACTCCTTCATCCCCATCACCTATCTCTCCCATCCGCCTGCCCCCCTCCCCTCTGGTAACCATCAGTTCTCTGTAATTAAGACTCTGTTGCTTGACTTCTACCTTTTTTTTGCTTGCTTTGCCATTTTTAATGATATTTATCTTCTAACCTTCGAACATACTTACACGGATCTGTATTTTAATTTGGTAGGCGAAGATGCCCAGCTGGATTTTGATGCCCTGTATGATGACGACACAGCCATGGCTGCCTTCATGAATTACTTTGAAGCAGAGGGGGGCCTGGGAGACCCTTGGGACTTCAGTGACATACACTGGACACTCTAGCATTTGATTTTTAATTCTTACAAGTTAGGAACGTGTTAAAGTAGTTCATTGACAAAAAAAAAAAAAACTATGATCTTCTGTACTGTATGGATACTGTTTTGTCTTTTATTCCTATTAATAGTCTACCAATTGTTATAGATGTGCACCTTACTTCCACAGCAGTAGGGGGAAATGTGATGTTTCCCTTCACAAAGAATGGCTCAGAGTTTCCTACAGACCCCTTTTCTCAGTGACATGGCGTAAAACCCACTAGTTGCTATCTTTTTGTTAAAATATTTCTCACCAAGAATATCACATATATCTTGTTTTGGTTTTATTTTCTGATGCAGTTCTTGAGTGTGGGGAATTTAATATGTTGACATTTTCCTGTGTCTAAGATTCATTTATAATGGATTTATAATAGTAGATTTGTAGCAGTTGGAGGATCTCTGTTTCTTGTACATTTCCTTAATTGAGGATAGGGCTTACACACTTTAAGAAAACTCTGAGCACTTGAACATTTAAAGAGATGGTACAGTTGGTAGTCATAATTGCAGTGAATCCTGTATTCAGTCATTGTAAACTTGGGCAAGTGTAAAGCCAGGATAGTTAGTTTGGTCAAGCACTTGAGATGGGCTTTAAGTGAGAGGATTTATTTAAAACTCAGGAAAAAAAAATTTTTTAAGGGACTTTCGACTTGGCTTTACAGAAAAGGAAAGATCTTGGGCCCTAGATCTTGGTAATTATCCTTTGCATGTAAGAATTCTTGCTAATATAGCCAATCAAGATTTTCATTACATATAAAACCAGTTGTTGGTACAGAAAATGTGCTTAGTGAAAGATTAGCCCTGGAGGAAAAAACAAGCGCAGGCAGGTTAAATGTCTTGTGTAAGTCACAGTTAAATTCATATTTTTAAAATGTTTAATGTGTATAAATCCGTTTCCTTATACACATTTGGGAAAGCAATGGTCTCACTGGTTAAATGATTAATTAACTGACCCAGGAACTAGTTGTGGCCTTTTAGAATAGGCAATTACAGTTACTGTTGCCTGTAACCAAAGGTAATTATACAAACGCTAAGTATAGTTTTGAAACTGAGGCAATAAGAAAGAATTTAAAAACCAATTTTCTAGCTATGATTACAAATTTGGAGATCAGTTTTTTAACTAATAATTGAGAAGTGGATTATACTGAGCACAAGAAGAATATTTAAAATCGTATACGTATGTCGACCTTGTTGAAGGTCATACTTTCATAATACCGTATGTTTTCATAGTTCTTTCTAGTTTACCAAGTGTGTTTTCATCTATTTTCTTTTGTGCCCCACAAATGAAAGTACAATAGGCTAGGAAGCTAATGGGGAAGCCGGAGGCTCAGCTGTGGAGGATCCAATGCAGTTCTCTTCCTCTATGTGGTGCTACACTCCAGCAGATATCTTTCCAAGCCTTGCCCCAAAACAAAGCATTATTTTGACCTTGCATATTTCTGTAGGCTGTACATAATAGGTTAGAACTTTTGTCAAACAGGTTAATGGCAAACATACCCACAGGCAATAGTCCAAAAGCACACATTCCCTTCAGGTGGGACTCCTGCAGAGTAGCTACATGGGGAAGGATGTATTGGCACGTTGTCCTCCAGCCGATACAGGGTTCCCGCGATATTGGAGGGTCAGCACCACTCCCAGTTCTGGGACTGAGGTACATGCAGGTTTACAATAAGCCAGAGAAACCCTACAAGATGGGGGAGATTGGTTTGCAGCAGGCTAAGCATGATACTTTTAAGTTTGAAGAAGCAGGAACGATCATATCTGTTCTGTAAGTCCAAGGCGTACCAATGTTAACAGTTTAGTGTCTAAACCATTGTGGGTTGGGCTTGGCCTCCAGAGTTGACCTAAGCCAGGGGTGGCAAGATGAGTCACTGTGGATGGATGGCCTTGAAAGGAGAGGGGCAAACCTTCCTGATCCAAGGATCTGGGAGGCACAGTTTCTAGAGGCCATCGATGCCACGCACAGAAGCAGTTTTTTCTCTTTGCAAGACGAAGGGTTAGTCAGTCCATAGGCCGGTGGGCAGATAGCCAATTGAAGGCTTTGATCCTTTAATAACCCACTCGAGTATTTTTCTGTAGATCTTGTCTGGACCCAGAATCCAATCCATGCAATGTAGGTTAACTGTAGCTGTCCCATGTTTAGTGTTTTCTCCAAAGTGTGTTGCATTTATGCTGAATTGCTGTTAGGAGTGACAGATATTTTTATGGCTTACCCTATATTACTTTTTCTCCTACCCATTAATTTCCTGCATTTTGATGAAAAGCATCTACACATTGAATGAAATCATAAAAATATTCTAGTTCTGTCTTTTTTTTTTCTTTTTCCCTAAGTCTAAGAACTACTTACAATAACATAGTGGAGTAGGGAAGAACCTAGAATCAGAAAGAGCCCGCTCGGCCTAAATTTAGCTGTGTGACCTCAAGGAAGTCATTTAAACACTCTGTATGTGCCTCAGTTTCCTCATCTGTCACAAGAGAACTTGATCTCTCAGTTTACTTCCAGTTCTGATTCTGTGATTCTGATCCACGGGACCTGAGCTTTAGGGTCAGACTCTAGAACTGTGTGGTCTCGTATGATAGCCACAGGCCACGTGTGGTTATTGAGCACTTGAAATGTAGCTCATGCAAATTGAGATAGACTGTAAATGTAAAATGCATACCAGATTTCATACATTTAGTATAAAAAGGGAGCATAAGATATCACATTAGCAGTTTTATAATGGGGCACCCGGCTGGCTCAGTCAGTGGAGCATGCGACTCGATCTCAGGGTCGTGAATTCCAGCCCCATGTTGGGCATAGAACTTACTCAAAAATAAATAAAAATTTAAAAATAAATATAAAAACTATCTTTTAAAAACAGTTTTATATTGATCATATACTCAAGTATTTTGGATATACTGAATTATATAAAACATTAACATTTTACTTTTTACTTTTTTAATGTGGCTACAAGGAAATTGTAAATTACCCATGTGGCATATATTATATTTCTATTGGACAGTGCTGCTCTAAAACATTTTATTAAGTGGATATTACTGAAGTAGACCAAAGGTTATACCATAACTATGATATTTACCTCTAAATGCTATGGTTTAAGGAACAATTGTTTATTGATCCTTGATTTAGTATAATCAAATAACTGTGAACCTCTATCCATGTGTCAAAATTTAAAACTTTTTTGAAACTAGTAAACCTGAAAATGTTATCCGTTCATTTCATTACATGATGATAACCTGAAATCAAGTAAAACTTGGGGTATATGGTGACACCCTATTGCAGTCACTAAACCTGGAAATCCATTGAGAAATAGACAGGAAAATAGAGAATGGAGGCTTTTGGTAAATAAATGGGATTAGAATATTTCATTACAGTGTCATAGTGGGAAAACGCTATATTTATTAGTCCTATTCTTTGAGGAATTTCTATAGCATCTGGGCAGAGTAAATGAAATAACCACTACCTAGTTATTGGACCACGTTTAGGAGTGTCATTTCAGATCCTGCTCTAAAGAAGCCTCTACCACTCAGGTAAGTCATTGTTTGGCTCTGAAATTGGAAATTCAGATTTGCCAAGCGCAGTTATGAGAAGAGCAGGGAAAAGATCTAAAATGATCAGAAGCCATCAAGGAAAACGGCCAAGTGGCCACTAGGTGTCACTTTTCCATTTCTAGAGTGCTTTGTTTTCATTAATTTTTCCAAGTTGTACAGGGCCTAGGGGAGGCATTTATGACTTGTATTTAGATTAGGTCTGCCTCTCTGGTGTGGGTTATTTTATGAGAAATGCTTTTTAAGAGAAGTCTGGGAAGATGTTTCCCATATAATATAAGAACTTTGGTTTAAGATGCTTTCCAGATGTGGCTCCAGTAAAAGTTGACCATAGAAAGAAAACTTGTCTAACCTGGAATATGCTTTCTGAATTCACTTGAGAGTATGTTGTATGTGTGTCACTGCTCCTACATTCCTGTGCTTAGCTCTGTTTTTTATACAATTTTTAGCTCTTTTCCAGTTTACTTGTTCTTGTCTGTATATTGGGATTTTTTAAATTTTTGTGGTAAGTAATGAAAAGAGTGAAATTAAACTATATTTTATAATAATTACTAGTTTGAAGTTTTTTAAACTTATTAAACCTCCTCCAAAAAAGTTATCTCCTTAACTACTTTCTAAAGTGGAAACATAGACTAGACCATCCAATCTTCTCAAACCACTAGGCAGAGAGGTATACTGAACTACATTACTCTGTCTATATTTGTGTGTGTTTGTGAGGGTCCGCTAACTGCTGTAACCATCCTCTTGTCCACAGTGGCACTCAGAACCTCCCAGTGCATGTTGTTCTTCTACGTGGCAATCTCAGTGGAAAGAGAGCTTCTCTATTTCCTAGTAGTTCACACAAAAATGTCCATTGTTTGGGCCTTTGGATCAACTTGGTTCACATAGATTTTCCTGAGGTCACCAGGCTGGAATACACAGATTGGTCAGGTTTGGGTTACATGCCCAAACCTATTTTGGGGGGTTTTTTAAAATTTTATTTATTTATTTGATGAGAGAGACACAGCAAGAGAGGGAACACAAACAGGGGGAGCAAGAGAGGGAGAAGCAGGCTTCCCGTGGAGCAGGGAGCCCGATGCGGGGCTCGATCCCAGAACCCCGGGATCATAGCCTGAGCTGAAGGCAGATGCTTAATGACTGAGCCACCCAGGCACCCCCCAAACCTGTATTTTAAAGGCATCCTTGAAAGGGAAAGGATGTCAAAAATAGCCAGCTGCCTGACATTCTAGGGCCAGTGGAAAGAACGGGGACATGTGCAGCAAGGACAATGGAAAACTTGTAATTTATGATGGTTGAGGATTTCGGAGGATTGTGGGATTAGCTATGTGAACCTGGAGTCTTGTTTTTGGTTGTTCTTGGGGAGGGGGGCAGTGAGAGGATAGTGAGTAGCAGCAAGGTGTGTCATGTGTTTTTAACATTGGTCATCTTTTTTAATACCTAGCCACCAGATGCTTTGGAGAACTCTGTCTATGGCTTTGGTCAGTGTGTGTTTAGAGGCTCCATAAAGAGTGGTCTTAAGTTCTTGTCCAGCTGTGTGTCTCTGGCGTAGGATGTATTTTCTTAGGCAGTCCTAGTTCTTAAGCTCACATTTAGGTAGTATTTTCCACATTTATTCTCGTCCATGAGGAAATCCGTCCCATTTTACCTTGCGAGTAAATAGGTCACTTTTTTTGTGTGATAATTTTTTTCTTCAAAGGACAACACTAAAAGGAGAAGGCTAGATGATGGAGATTTATAAGTTAATGGAACTCGGGCGCCTGGGTGGCTCAGTTGGTTAAGCGACTGCCTTCAGCTCAGGTCATGATCCCAGGGTCCTAGGATCGAGTCCCGCATCGGGATCCCTGCTCTGCAGGGGGCCTGCTTCTCCTTCTCCCCCTCCCCCTGCTTGTGTTCCCTCTCTCGCTGTGTCTCTCTCTGTCAAATAAATAAATAAAATCTTAAAAAAAAAAAAATAAGTTAATGGAACTCTTGAAAAATCTCATTTAGTCCAGCTCAAAACGTGATATAGGAAGATCCTGAATCGACCTCCTCTCGCGGACAGACCGACTCTACAGTGGGTGAGAGGAGAGAGGGAAGCAGGCCTCTCAGAGTCCTTGACATTGCTGCATCCTCCCCCATCCTGCCACGATCGTGGTCTGCGTTAGTCTAGGACAGATGCTACGTGGGCTGGGCTTGGGCGGCTCGCCCTGGCTGTGCTCTGCCTGCTGTGCATTCCTGGGACCAGCCTGCAGCCTGTGAGCCTGTCTGCACCCCTATCCTAGCACACAACAAAGGTATCCAACCACCTGTGCCACTGTACCCAGACCAATGCCATCCTGGCCACCAAGCAGCTTGAAGGTCTGCTGGGCACCGCCAGAAGCCCACACCTGCTCTTACTCTGTGCCATGGACATACTCATCTGCACCATTCCTTCCAACAAGAGCACATTAAGTTCTGCGAGTCTATGTGCAAGTAGGCCCAGAGGCCTGCAAGCCCATCTTCCCCAGGTAAGCCACCTGTGGTCTGAGAGCCACGCCTACAAGGAGCTGCCATTTATGGCTGGGACACGTACATCTTTCACAAGGCCATCATCACCATGGACAGAGTGAATTTCCTATGGATCCTAGTAATGGAAACGGTAGCGGGGCAAGCAGTGAATGCTGCAAATGTAAACCTACTTGGGCTACACAGAGGACCTAGTGGCAAAGCAATTATAACTATGTCATTCAGGGAGGCTACAGGTAAGAGATAAAGACCAAAGGCCATGCTGTGCCTGCACTAATTGAGGTGAAGGAGCTTCTAAGGGCTTCCCTAATAAACATTGCAAGCACACCATTAACCTTTACAGCAATTCTGGCTGCCTATGTCCTCATTCATATCAATGAGTAGTATATCATTACGTGTTATGAAGGTGAGTGATGCTCCAGATTACTCTTGGTGGAAAAATATTGCTGAGAAATGGAAGGGTCAACTTTGTAAAAACTTAAGCACTGGGGTATGAAGCTCTGTCATCTTAGAGTAAAAGTGATTCTAGCCATAGTAATTCCACCCCGAGTCAGACATCTGGCAGGAACTCTAACCCCCTACAAGCACACAGCTAAACCCTGAAAGGCAAGAACAACAGTGAACTTCATATGAAGACTTGCATTGCTGGACTAGCGAAGGAAAATTGTACTGTTGAACATGATAATCTGTTATTTACCATATAAATGGGTATTACCTCTGCTTTTCTCTTTTTTTCTTCCCTTTTTTGTAGTCTGAGTTTGGATCCTTAAATATAATATACACATTCAACTTAACAACAAAAAAATACAATTTATAGCTAAATTGTGAAAAGTTAAAGACAAGGAGAGAATCTTAAAAGCAGTGAGGAAAACAAATTGTTACATACAAGGGAACCCCCATAAGACTATCACCAGATTTTTGAGCAGAAATCTTGCAGGCCAGAAGGGAGTGGTACCATATATTCAAAATGCTGAAAGGAAAATAATTCTGCCAACCAAGAATACTCTATCCAGGAAGCCTATCATTCAGAATAGAAGAGATCAACAGTTTCCCAAACAAAAGTTGAAGAAATTCATCACACCGGCTTATAACAAATGTTCAAGGGAACTCTTTGAGTGGAACAGAAAGACCATAAGCAGGAGTAAGAAAAGGGGAAGGACCAAAGCAGTAAAATTAAGAATATCTATAAAAATCAGTCCAGGGATTCACAAAATAGAAGGATGTAAAGTATGACATCATCTACATGAAATGTGGTGGGGGAGAGAAAATTTTTAGTTTTTATTTTATTTATTTTAGAGAGAGAGCATGCTCGAGTGTGGGGAAGGAACAGCGAGGGAAGGAGAAGGAAAGGGAAAGAATCTTAGGCAGACCCTACACTGAGCTCAGACCTCAGTCTCATGACACTGAGATCATAACCTGAGCTAAAACCAAGAGTCGGATGTCCAACTGACTGAGTCACCCAGGTGTCCCAAAATTTAGTGCTTTTAGAATGGATTCAAACTTAAACAACCATCAAATTAATATAGACTGCTAGATGCATAAGATGTTATGTATAAGTCTAATAGTAACCACAAATAAAAAACTGGTAATAGATATGCAAAAAATAAAGAGAAAGGAATCCAAGAGTATCAATAAAGAGCCAGCAAACCCACAAAAGAGAGCAAGAGAAGAATAGAACAGGGAAGAACTATGAAAACAACCATAAAGCAAGTAACAAAATGGCAATAAGCACATAAGTATAATAATTACTTTGAATGTAAATGGACTGAACACTCTAATCAAAAGACAGAGGGTGATGGAACGGATAAAAAAGCAAGATCCATCTATATGCTGCCTACACGAGACTCATTTCAGACCTAAAGACATTGTAGATTAAAAGTAAAGACATAGAGAAGCATCTATCATGCAAAGCTGGGGTAGCAATACTTATACTGGAAAAAATAGACTTTAAAACAAAGACTGTAGGGGCGCCTGGGTGACTCAGTTGGTTAAGCGACTGCCTTCGGCTCAGGTCATGGTCTCGGGGTCCTGGGATCGAGCCCCACATCGGGCTCCCTGCTCAGCGGGAAGCCTGCTTCTCCTTCTCCCACTCCCCCTGCTTGTGTTCCCTCTCTCGCTGTGTCTCTCTCTGTCAAATAAATAAATAAAATCTTTAAAAAAAACAAAGACTGTAACATGCAACAAAGAAGGACACAACATGACAACAAAGAGAACAGTCCAATAAGTAGATATAACAATTGTAAATGTTTATGCACCCAACATGGGAGCACCTAAATACATAAAGCAGTTAATAACAAACTTAAGGGAAGCAATTGATACCAATACAATTAACAAAGAAGCACCTAAATACATAAAGCAGTTAATAACAAACTTAAGAGAAGCAATTGATACTAATACAATTAATAGTAGAGGACTTACACACGCCATTTACATCAATGGATAGATCACCCAAACAGAAAAACAAGGAAACAGAAAGCTTTGAATAACACATTGGGCCAGATGCAACTAACAAATATATTCAGAACATTCCAGAATACATAATCTTTTCTAGTGAACATGGGACTATTCCCAGAATAGATCACATGTTAGACCACAGAACAAGTCACAACAAATTCAAAAAGATTGAAGTTTTATCATGCATCTTTTCCAACCACAATGCTATGAAACTAGAAATTAACCACAAGAAAAAATCTGGAAAGAATACAAATACATGGAGGTTAAATCACATGTTACTGAGCAATGAATGGGTCAACCAAGAAATCAAAGAGGAAATAAAAAATACATGGAGACAAATGAAAACACAATGATCCAGAATCTTTGGGATGCAGCAAAAGTTGTTCTAAGAAGGAAGTTTAGAGCAATACAGGCCTACCTCAAGAAGTAAGAAAAATCTCAAACAATCTAACCTTACACCTAAAGGAGCTAGAAAAGGAAGAACAAACAAAACCCAAAACCAGTAGAAGGAAGGAAATAATAAACAATAGAGCAGAAATAAACAAAATAGAAACAAACAAACAAACAAAAAGAACAGATCAATGATACCAGGAGCTGGCTGTATGAAAAG